CGGTGATACCTTGGTCTTCAGACATAATACCTTCAAGCATTATCGGACTGAAGTTTCAGGATTCGCATGCCCTTGGTCTTCAAGCATAATACCTTCAAGAGCTTGATCGAGAGGCGGATGGATCCGAGGAGGATGGGAGACTGGAAGATCAGAGACCTCTTTGAGCATTAGCTCCCATTCCTCCTCAGATTCCTCTACCAATAGTTGCATCTGCCTCAAACCTTGTGTATATGGCCTACTAGGGTGGGGCACAAGGGTAGAAGCTAACGGAGGCAGAGGATACCCGACATTTTCCCGGCTTGCGAGCAGATGGTTTGGCCTTCAGCGCATGAGTATGAGCATGTCCTTGCCGATTTTCTGTGCAGGGTTTGGAGCCACAACTTTGACCTTACACTTCTCTATCGAGGATCTTGGAAGGCCATTCTGTTTGATAACAAATTTCGGCATGGCCTACATGGGGACGAGGGGCGAGTAGTAGACATCCTCGTCGTCCTCCTCAATCAGCAATCTGCTCCGCCGCCTTTCAACCTTAGTCGGTTCTGACACATAGAGATCCTTGGTTTTGTGCATGGTGATAATATCTTTTTTCGACAATTTCCTGGAGCTCTGAGGGTTGTGGTTAGCGCGAAGCACTTCGTCGGGTTCATGGAAAGCCCTTCTCTCGTTTGCTGGCGCTGTTTCCACCCGTGATATCTCCGATTCAGCATGCATCACAGAAAAACAAGTCTCATTTTTCACTCCCAGCTTCTTATCACCTTGAAGATAGGAAAATTTTGGTGTACGAGAGACCACGAATCCTCAAGGGCTCCTCTCCCGCTGATTCTTAATCATTCTTACTGACGAGTGGATGGGAGACTGTCCAAGGAGGATTCATAGGTCCCGCTTCCCCAGTTGGCCAGTCCGCTCTTCACTTCGATTCGAGCGTTGAACTGCCTTGTCCACAATGCTTCTTCGGGACCCACGATCAGAATTAACCCAAACTGAGCGAGGAGGGCCACAGAACAAGGGCCTGTCTTCAGCTTCATCATATAGCTTTATCCCCATTTTTTTCGTAGACATATGCGGGCCATATTTCGCTTTCCGTACTGGAGGATCGTAGGTACAAGCCCAAAGCGAGTGTCTCACTCTTCCATAGTGAAAGCAAAAGCTTGGGAGGCGCTCATACTTCAAATTGACCCAAAAACAACCCGTATCATCATTGGCCACCATCAGGTGCGATCTCAGTGGATTGGTAAAGTCAACTAGCACCTTAACCATGACGAAACATCAATCCGTCTCAGGGCATGTAAAGACCCCAGCTTCCAGGACTTGACCAATCGTAGCATTCGCCACTTTTCATCCGAATTGATGAGTACAACAGTCTTCTCTAATATCCCAAAGCTGCACCCTGAAAGGGGCAATAGCCAGATCGTCAAAATTCCGCCTAGGGACGTGTTGTGACTAGGTTGTGAGATGAAGAATCTTGTCTTTGAGCACCCACGGTGTCCTCTTTAAGATCCAGATTTTTTATTCTTCACTTAGGAGAACAAATTCAAACATACCATGTTTTGATTCCTTCACTTTGACCTGGCCTTTGACATGCCAAGGTATTTTAACTGCTTCATATAGGTCAATCGTCGTGATTTTTTTATCAGTGAAGACTCGTCCCAGAAGCGTGCAGAAAGTTTCGAAGGCCATGGATTAAACTTATTCAAGCGAGAATTGAATGATTTGGTCCTCCGTAACGTGTGCCATGGTTGTGACCTGGTCATGCAGAAAAGAGTTAGTCTCATGGTTCATTACTTCCGTGCTCTCTCCGACTTGGATCACGAGGGAATGGGAATGGAAGGCGAGACTAAAACTCCGCTAGATAGGGGACTCGGTAACCAAAGAAACTTTGAAAGTATTATTAGACAATGTAAGTAGAAAGAGAGAATTAGGAGAGTAGCTGAATCTTGGTTTATGCAGACCTTTCGTGTGCATACTTGGGCAAAGGAGCTTACAGGGGAAAGTCTCTTCAGATTTTACAACACTAATCCTTTCTCTTACTATGTGAGCAATATGAATAATAGTGTTGGAGTTGGCTTTTAAAGAGAGACTTCCATCCGAACTCCTTCCCATTGTATGACTCTGGCACTGACCCATAACCAAAAGAAGTCGACTTGGACAAGGATTGTTATGGGAGGGATCTATATTGGTAATTATCTTAAAATTTTGAAACAACATTTGCAACCGGCAAAGCACGGATTCGTCAGAATTATGCTTACGTGGTGAAGATGCACCGATCACACTAGCATCGGCCAATCGTCGGACACTGACCGGCAAAGTGACCAGAGTTTTTTTGATCACTGAAACAAGAGGAGGATATTTTCCTTCTGGTCGGAGTCCACGAACCCTATCAAGGATCGTAATTCTCCGAGCCCATGCTTTCAAGTCAATTTTCGAGTTCTGTAAGCTGATAGCTAGGAATCCGATGATCATTGTGAGCAGGTGCCAGCCAAGGGTACGGCAAACGCCCAAGAGAGAGGCAAGAGCTTCTCTCATTGGCTTTTTTTAAGGTAAATTACACTTCATACATACAAATTTAATTAATCGGGTCCGAAATAAATATTGCAGGAGGACAACTTAGGATTCCGCCGAAAGTGTTTCGAGATGGGATGTGAATTTGTGGGCTAATGCGAGGATTGAACGGAGCATATTTTGTATAGATCTTTGGTAGCGGTCGTGACAAACGGAAACGATGGAGGGGGATAACTTAGGATTCCGTCGACAATGCTTTGAAATGGGCTGTAAATTGGTGGGTGAATCGGCAAGCAATATCCCCATCCATTGACATTAAGTTGGGCTTGAATTCTCTGAATGGAGAAATTTATTAATGTCTCGACAAACATATTAGTTTTCTTCATGCTCTCATCGATCATAAAACTTATTAAGTTGCCACTTCCTATACTAGAGAAACTTTGGCCTGAAAACAAATTCATATTCTTGGTTTAATCTCAACGTCCAATAGATATTTTATCGTACTATCTACTATTATTGCATTTATGAACGAAAAGAATGTTTGTCTAAAATAAGTAAATAACAAAAAAAAAATTACATTCTCTCCCTAAGGCGAGGATAGTCTATCAGTTAAAATTCTTCTCAACTAACAATACTCTCCTAGTTCATTGTATTTCCTTCTATAATCTATATCTTAACTGGAGTCCATTGATAAATTTACTGTCTTGTGCAAATTTCTGCTGCTCCTCTACAAACACATGTATAAAATTAAAAAACACAATTATGGTATCTTTCGGATATGAGAACAAAATTATGAGGCATTATTTATAAATATTCCAACTAAGACCACCCACAATGTGGGAGGGAAATGAGAGTGGGAAAATAGGGAAAAGAGGGGAGAGAGAAGGGTTTGGTCACAATGTGGGGTGGGAAAATGGAGTAATTGGTTGAACATTATTTTTGATAAAATCAATCTATAATTGATTTTGTCACTCTATTTTGATATAATGATAATTTGTTTTACATAGGTAGTGATAATTAATTAATACAAACATTTCGATATTAATTTTAAAAATAATTATTTTCATTACTAATTAAATATGATGTCATCAAAATGAAATTACAATAAAATACACCCAAACAAACACTTCTCCCCAATTTTAGAAAACAAAAGAAAAGTGGATTTATCCACCATCTTTTTCCTTCTTTCCCCCTTTCTCCATTTTCCCCTACCCCATTGTGGGGAAATTTCTCCACTCCAGCCTACCACATTGTGTATGGTCTAAGAGGATTGGACAACCAATTCACCAATTTAAACACTTAAAAGAACAAGATAATATAAGGTTGTGTAAGAAACAATAAGCATATGAGGAAAACATAAGAAAAATCACGCAAATTGTAATTCTACAGAAATCTCATATCGACAAAATATGAATAGTTCTATAATTTATAAGGAACATGTAATTTTAACTAACAAACTGGAGTTTGAGGTGAAATGGATGGTTCTTGTAAGAGCTTTGAAATTAGACGTGCTCCACACAATGCAATGATTGGTGACATTCTGGGAAGTATCTTGATGTGATTAAAAGCAAAATTGTGTGGGTAAGAGCAAAGCAGACTATATTGACAAAAAATTGGGGATGTTATGTTACAAGTGGTATCAGAGCCTTTTCACGACCCTCTTGTGCGATGGTGCGGGAGTAGGCCCAAAGCAGTTGTTAGGCAAATCACATATCAACAAAGCACGAGAGATATCTATGATTCATAAGAAACATCCAACTTAAACTGACATGACACATTTTGGGGTAAAATGAATGAGTTATTGTAAGAATAATAAAGTTAAACGTGCTAATTGTAGAGTAGTGAAAATACGAGCGACCTTCTCAAAAGTCGTCATGATGCGCCCAATAGCAAAACTGTGCAAGTAAGTCCGAAGCGGACAATATCTTATTCAAAAACATTGAGTGTTACATAAAGAAAAAAATAGTAATCAAATTTATGTTTTGGAAAAAAGAAAAATGGGAAAAACCAAATCAAAAGCATATTGCGTTGCGTAAACCATGGGTCCATGGCAATGGAATATCTAGCAACAACCGTTAAAACGACAAAAGAAAAAGCGAGTTACATAGCGTTTGGTATAAATGAATTTCATAAATTTTGAGAAATTTATTTTGAAATGAAATATTTTTGTGTTTGGTATTAAAAAGAATTATTTTCAATTCTATATTTTGAATTCTATGAAATTGGAACTATTTATAGAAATTCCGAGGAATTGAGATGAAGTTTCCAAATGAATTCCACAAGTATTTACTAATTATAATAGAATAACATGATTATCCTCTTTTATTAACTAAATTACTTAAACATATGACATACCAAACATAGGAATTCATTTGACAATGAATTCTACACGGTATTCATTTTACAATGAAATGAATTCTCGATTCATTTGGTACCAAACAGTCGGTTAATAAATAAAACTCATTTATAAATCAGGATCGGCTGCAACTAATCTCACCGCAACTCAAATGCTCCCTCGCCTGAGTCGTTGACCCCAAAGCACCAGTCTAGCATCACAAAGTCAACCGTCTTTCAAACCAACGGCCAGGATTCCACGTCACCATGCTTACTTCACTTCAATCATGCAGCAAGAAAAGAAGTCGTTCAGCGTCTCGCCAATAAAGAATTATTACTAATCGATATTTTTTATTATTAATTATTACAATTTTACGCCTCTCCCTCTCTGCTTTTCTATTTTTCTTGTTTTTCCCTAGTGTTTTTTTGGTTTTGTTTTTGGGTGGGTTCTCTTCTTCCTTTGAGTTTGTTCTCTGTGACTTTCCAGCTTCTCTGTATCATCTTCGCTGCCCCGTCCGCGGAGAAGCTGACACTTCTTGCTGCGCGTGTCAACTGGGCCCGGCAAGCTATCCCGCTCATAGCTTTTCCGCCTTTGCTTCTGTCTCAGCTTCGGATTGTCGGAGCTTCGCTTGAAAGTATGTAACTTTGGGTGAATTTTAGTGTTTCGAGTGTTTGTTTGTCTCATTTCAAGTTAATCAAGCAGATGGGTTCTGAAATTTGTGACCTTTCTGTTCGTTCTTCGGACTGGTTTTGATTCCTTTCTTGATTTCCATTTCCTTTGCGATTTTCTGCCGTAATTTTCGTTTGGTTCGTAGATCTGTTGATGATGGAGTTTGTGTTTATGGGTTTATTTTTTTTTTGTCATGTGGATTGTGTTTATGGGTTTTGGCTGTGGAAATTGTGTGTGTTTGGAGAATTGGATCTACAATTCGATCAGCTAGTGTGGAGTGGAGTAGCTACTGGAAGTGGAGGGGAAAGGTTGAATTAATGGTTGCAGTGAATTTTTCCATTGACTGTGCAGTTTGACTTGGAATGAGAGTTGTGGGTGCTTGTAGTGGAAAGGAAAAGAAAATTTGGGATTGTTGCTAGCGTTGTTCAGATTAGTGAAGCGATGACTGGTCAAGCTCAAGCTAAGACTTTTGTCGTCATTAAGACTCTTTGGAGTACTATAAATAGAAAGTTGATGCATGTTGATCTAACCTATTTGAACAAGTAGGAATTGACTATGGAACTACATCATTAGTAGGTATGAAAAGTATTAGGAGCGTCTGCTGGAACTATATCTGGCATATTTAATGTGTGGTATCATAATGCCTAGTGCAAAATTCAGCAGTCTAGTCCATTGATGGTTCTAACTTAGGTCACCATTTGCCAAGCGAAGGGTCTGGGGACCAATTTTTGTAGTAGTATGTACAAAACAATGTTTCATTTGATTGCTTTAGTAGCTGGATAATTTATTTTTCAACTTTTGATGGAGTTCAGTTTGTCATTGATGTGATGATTTCCTTAAATCTCCCTTTTCTCATTATAGAATCCGATTCAACACTTTGGAATTTTTTGTCTCGACATTTCTGTGGAACCATTCATGATTGTCCTGTGGAACCTTGCAGAAAAGATCAAAACAACAAAAGTTCAATATCTACGTCTTTCGTATGTGGTCCGTAAGTTGGCATGGGAACGAGGGGGTATCTATAATGGAGAAGTGCGTGTTCAGTTGAAGGTGGGAGCTGCCATATCTGTCTCATTTTACAAACATGCCTTGGTGGAGCAAGTCGTCATCAAAAGATGAAAAGAAGAAAACAAACAAGGAAGGTATCATTGATGCAATACACAGGAAACTCAGAAATGCACCCGAGGATAAGAGCAGTGGTGGTAGAACTGCTGGGTATTGGAGGCGGGCTAGAGATGTTCTCTCAGAGAGAGGATCTCTTTCCCGAGTCCCATCAAGATCTCCATCACCTTCCACTCAAGTCTCACGGTGCCAAAGTTTTGCAGAAAGACCATCTCAACCACTTCCACTTCCTGGTGCGAGACGTACAACCGTTGCCCGCTCTCATTCTGGAGTGAGTAGTTCCCCAAATCCAGGTTCTGATGCAGGATCCAAGCATTTGCAGGTATTACCTCTTCCAAGGCCTGGGAATGTTTCTAATAGGTTGGACCGGGTAAATGTTGAAGTGGATATAGGCACTGCTTCCATATCTAGTGATAGTTCAAGTGATAGTGAAGATCAGTCAGATTCACGTCTCCTTAGTCCCTTGACATCAGACTATGAAAATGGGAACAGAACTGCTGCAAATAGCCCTTCTAGGTGAGAACTACAGTTCTTTAATGCTTTTTTCTTCTTCGTAATTTCGGTTTATCCTCTCTGACTTGGCTTGTCTATGGATGGTGCCAAAAGCATGATGCAGAAGGATCGGTCTCCGCTTCTTAGTCGAAAGAACTCAGGCGAGATGTTGAAGCATGCTGACTTTTCACTGAATAACAATCAGAAACCATCTGTATCGCCTAGAAGGGCGCATTTAAGTTCTCTTGTACAAAATTTACAGATACCTAACAGAGGCATACTTTCCAGTGCCCCTGACAGCTCAATGTCGAGTCCTTGCAGGAGCCCAATCAGGTTATTTGGAACAGAGCAAGTTGTAGTAAATACTGGTTTATTACTACAAGGGAAGAATTATGCAGATGTAGTAGGTTTACTAGGATCTGGGCATTGCTCAAGTCCAGGTTCGGGTTATAATTCTGGGCATAACTCAATAGGTGGAGATATGTCAGGACAGCTATTCTGGCCAAACAGTAGATGTAGCCCTGAGTGCTCTCCCATACCGAGTCCTCGAATGACAAGTCCTGGGCCGAGCTCCAGGATACAGAGTGGGGCTGTGACACCTCAACATCCACGAGCTGGTGGGGGTTTGGCAGAGTCGCCTAAGGGAAGGCATGAGGACACCAAGCAACAGAGCCACCGGTTACCTGTTCCACCAATAACAATCTCTAATACTTGTCCCTTTTCACCTGCTTATTCTGCCGCAACCTCTCCTTCACTACCACGAAGTCCTAATAGGGCAGAAAACCCTACAAGCCCTGGTTCACGCTGGAAGAAGGGCCGTCCATTAGGGCGAGGCACGTTTGGGGATGTGTTTCTTGGATTTAACAGGTCTGTATGACTATGGCCTCAGTTCAAACTGTAACCTCATGAATGTGGTGGTTTTATTTCTCATAGATGTTTCTTCAACATTTCACTTATGGTAGATTATATTATGTTTACTTGATTAGTGAAAGTGGTGAGATGTGTGCAATGAAGGAAGTAACTCTGTTTTCAGATGATGCAAAATCAAGAGAGAGTGCACAGCAGCTGGGACAAGTAGGGGCTGGTTCCTTTTCTTTCTTTCGATTGTCTGTGATTCTCTCTCCCTCTCTGTCTCACTTAAACATTATACCCAATTTTATCCATCTGGCAGGAAATTGCAATGCTGAGTCGCTTAAGGCATCCTAATATAGTGCAGTATTACGGAACTGAAACGGTATTTTGTTCTTTAGACTGGCAAATCATAAATCTTTCTTTGGGAAGGATTTTCCAAAATAGGATATGGAATTCAAGGATTGACCGGTAACTGAACTTGTTTCCTTTATAAACATTGAGCAGGTGGATAACAAGCTTTATATTTACCTGGAGTATGTTTCTGGTGGCTCCATTTATAAACTGCTTCAAGATTATGGTGCATTTGGTGAAATAGCCATCCGTACTTACACTCAGCAAATTTTGTCTGGGCTTGCTTATTTGCATGGTAAAAACACTGTACACAGGTGCGTATCCTTTGGTAGCGGTCTGATTCATAATAGTCTCAACTTACAACTCCTTGGAGCAGATTTTGCCAACTCATGAATGTTTTCATGTTTTTTGTAGAGACATAAAGGGGGCAAACATACTGGTAGATCCAAATGGGCGGGTCAAAGTGGCAGATTTTGGGATGGCAAAGCATGTAAGAAATAAATAGTAATTTCAATCAATTTAGTTCAACTTTAAGTCAATTAGACAACACATGCCAACTGATAGATATTGCTGATCCTGCTGGGCAAGTCGTTTGGTTGGATGTATTTCAAGAATTGAATTTATAATTCCATGCAATTGAACAAATACATCGCTTTGTGTGGAAAGTTTTCATGTATTTGAGTGTATATGGAATTGCTTATGTAATCTACTTATTTAAATACCAGCTTGAATACAGAAAGTGAAACTAGCAATAAAAAAGCAAATAGAGAGCTTGAATGCATCAAAATGATGCTATCTCAAATACATGGGAGCATGGAGTATTTGAAAATGCATTTTTAGAAAAGTGGGTTTCAGTTTGGTTGTACAATTTTTCGTACAAATGCACTGAATTAACCAATGTTTTTACGAATGCACCTCAAGTAATAGAGTGAAAATTGAATAGCATAGCATTGAGACGAATTACATTCATTTACAAATACAGCAAATCAAACACACCTATAGCTCGTTCTTGGAAATTAAAAGATGATGTTATCTTTCCTTACGTATGTTTTTTACTTGGTCGATCTATTCTGCAGATTAGTGGCCAATCATGTCCATTATCGTTCAAAGGAAGTCCTTACTGGATGGCACCTGAGGTCAGTATCTTATTAACGTCAACTTATTGTGCACCCTCTCTGTTTGTTAATGCTCCAGTTTATAATTTGTTCCCAAAATTTCTCTAGTTGTTTCAGGTGATTAAGAATTCAAACAGTTCTAATCTGGCCGTTGACATATGGAGCTTGGGGTGCACTGTTTTGGAGATGGCAACTGGAAAACCTCCTTGGAGTCAGTATGAAGGGGTTAGTAAAACCTGAGCCAGAATTGCTAGTAGTTATTCCAGATGCTTCCAGAAGTGGAAAGCAAATTTAGCTGAGTTTGACATTTTCTTGCCTTTTTTTTTTTTTTTTGCTTATTGGAAGGTTGCTGCTATGTTTAAGATTGGAAACAGTAGGGAGCTACCAGCAATTCCTGATCATCTATCAGAAGATGGAAAGGACTTCATTAGGCAATGTCTACAACGGAATCCATTGCACCGCGCAACAGCTTCCCAACTCTTAGAGCACCCGTTTGTGAAGAATGTCACACCTCCAGAGAGGCTAATTACGAATGCTGAGCCCTTAGAACCAACTGCGACTGGAAGATTAACGGTACTTCTGATATTTTGCCTGGTCCCTGTGCTGTCTATGCCTCATTATATATGTCAAGAACCAGTTGATCCCAATAACTCGAGTTGTTGGGATAATGTTATGTTGGATCTTATACTACTCTCTAACAATATATTGTGTTTGTTATTGCTTTCCTCGTGGGTAAAAATGACTTAACATGGAAATGCTATTGTACTTTGTTTTTCCTGTGTTCCCATTATGCTCATGATCTTACCATGGTTTTTATTTTACCTAACAAGGTTGCCACGATTCTCTTGTGGCTCTTGTTTGTCTTTAACTGATTACTGGGATGCAATCTTCAATTAGGGCACTGGATATGCGAGAAGCTTTGACACGGAAGCAATCCCCATTCATCAATCTAGAGTCTCAAGAACTGGTTCAGGATTCAGGTTCTCCTCTTTCCAGCCTTTCCATGCAGTTATTCTTGTTTTTGGGTTGAGTCTCAAGAATTGGTTGAACATTCTTAACAGAACAACATTCATATGTGTTTTCTTCTCGAACTTTTGAATTTGTGAAACTTTGACGTGACGTGAAATTACCTACAACCAATGAGTGATGTTTGAAGGTTTTCTTCATTTGTCCTTGCATATGCTCTCTCCTAAGGCCCAGTAGCTAAAATGAGAATTCTCAACTCGAACTAGTTTGTTTTTGTTTCATCAAAAGATAAATTTGCTTTGGGTTTCAAACAGTTTTCATAACAATCCAATTCTGTTTCTCATTTTCTAGTGACTTCCATGCGCCGAGGAACAATTTATCATGTCCAGTTTCCCCTATCGGTAGCCCTCTTCTGTATCCAAGATCACCACAACAACAACATGTAAGTGGAAGGATATCTCCATCTCCTATATCTAGCCCTCACACTGCCTCAGGTTCATCCACGCCCCTTACTGGTGGCGCCATCCCATTTCATCATCACTCGTGGCAACCGGCATCTTACATCCATGAAACCCCAAGGTCTCAAACTGGCTTCTACACCGGAAGTAGCAGTAGTAGTCCCTATCAGGAACCAACCAACAACCAGCCTGAGAAGTTCAGAGGTTTGTCGCAAACCTCACACATGTTTCGGGATATGACTTCAGTAGATAATAATGGTGGTCTTGGGACCTGCCATTTTGGACGATTCGGTCAACACCAGGACCTTAGTGAAGTTCTTCCAACTTCACAGCCTGTGTTGGCTGATCGCGTGTCCCAGCAGCTACTAAGGGATAGTGTTCGGTTAAAACCATCTCTTGATCTGAATCCTGGCTTCACAATGCATCATCATAGGCCTGAGTAGCAATTTGCAGAGGTTTTGTGCTTCTTTGAGGCTAGAAAATTTCTGAGGTTACCAAGAGCTGGGGGCAAGGATTTTTGGAACAGCCATTTTGCAGAAGAATCCGCTAATTACTTTCAACCCATAACAACCGACGTGGAAATTCGAACAACTGACAGATGAGAAATTGCTTATTGAGACCTGACACGTTAGCAGCAGCTCAGCTTTTATTCGTTTGTGCGCTGTAAACAACTGTAAATCTTATCATACACTCTTGAAGAATACAGGAGTCTAGAAAAGTTCCTGTCTGAACATGGTGTACTCTTTCAATTTGTAACTGTAACCATATCTGGTTGGAAGAAGTACATCTGCCTCGGTTGAAAGAAGTAAAGTCATGTATAGAGAGTTGCTCTGAATCGGGGATATATTATTCATGTTCTTGCCTGATGGATCAAGCTCAAGCTAAATTCCCAAAGCTTTTTAGCCAGTTTCATGTCTTTCCCTTGGGAGTTGGGTTCGGCTAAATTACAGTCCATGAAGTGTTTACCAGTGACACCTTTAACTTGAGGGTGCAGCGCCAAATAACAGCTTGTAGCAGCTCCCTGCAAAAAATTGAAGTTAAGGAGTTAAAGATAAGGGTTCTATTGGTTCATCAAACAGGTTTTAGCTACTGGAAGAATGATGGACCTGTTCAGCATTCTTGAGTGCAAATTTAACAAACAAGTTAGCAAGCCCTGCGAAAAAAATGCGACTTTCGTTAAGGTTCAGCAGAAATTAGTACATAAACTTTGTTAAGAAATTACCGTTCACTACACTGTGATGCCGCAAAAGGTTGGTAACAATAGATCCAGGGTGAAGTGAATTAACAGAAATATTCACGCCATCTTCCTACATTAACAAATTGAAAGTGTTTTTAAGAATTTCACACCATCTGCAACAAATAATGAAGGGAAACTTGTAGTTTATGATTCTGTACCTGGAGACGCCTTGCTAGCTCCTTCGCGTGCAGTATGTTTGCAAGCTTCGACTGTCCATAAGCTGACATCCCAAAGTATCTGCAAAATCATAAGAGGGACAACGTGATAAAAGAGCGATAGTAGTGGCCCGAGTCTGAATCAAAGCATAGAGCATTAGCTACCCAGATTCATCGTTAAGTCTTTCAAATCGAATTCCTCCCTTGTACGTGAAGATATGAGCAAGTGATCCTAGGATGACGATTCTCCCCTCTCTATTGCTTGCATGAGCCGTCCTTTTCATAGTCTCTAGCAACAAGTTAGTCAGTAGGAAATGGCCTGCGCAAAATGCGAACAGTAGTTTTAGAGACATCGAGAAACCCAACAATATATTCTTGGTATTGATCTGAAGCATATGTACCCAAATGGTTTGTGGCAAATTGGAGCTCAATATTGTCTTCAGAAAGCGAGAAAGGGCATGCCATGATGCCTGCATTGTTACTTCAACCAAAAGAAACCCAAAATAAAAAGGACGAAAAAGAATGAACTCCCAGTCCCAGTGACCAATAATGATCGAGCTTCTGAACTGTCTACAGACTAGTGGTTCCACTTACATGAGAATGTTCAGTGGAAGGCCGGTGGAGACGAACTCTGACGCAAAGTTTCGAACCGATGCCAACGAGCTGAGATCCAATCTCATAACCTCGAGCTTAGCAGTTGGGATCCCATCCATGATCGAATGTCTAGCTTCATAACCAGCGTCGACATTCCTCACAGCCATCACGACTTGAACACCTCGCAGGGCAAGAACTCGGGTAGTCTCCAACCCAAGGCCACACGATGCCCCTGCATTTTAATCAATACCCATTCAAGTTGGTGATTCAGTTTCAAAGATTCAATCTTCTTCCCAATTTCTGAAAGTTTTCATAAAATTAAGGCTAACCCAGATGAAGAAAAACAGACCTGTAACGATGGCAGTGAGGCCGGTGCCATCGATCCCCGTCGTAACTTGCTCGGCGGTGGAACGAGCTGAGAATCCAGATTCACCTGTCCACCCGAAAACCCACATTTTCCCTCTCGCCACAACTAAATGTAACCTCTGTTCTCGCCGTAGTCTTATAATGGTTGCTGCTTTCGGCAGAGATTCCACTATATAGGCTCCTCCACCTGGAAAATCACGTTTGCCAGCCAACCGAAAACTCGCGTTTATGGTTTCATCAGCGCCTAGTTGCGGTAATGATACATTCAAGGGAATTTACTCGGCGGTATTGCATGGATTTCATTTCTCTTTGCCATAGGTTTCTTCTCGCGCTTATGATCCTATCTTTTCTTTGTTATTTAAATCAGGTCGGCCGAAGTAGCATACAATCGATCGACGGCAGAAAATACCTTATATAGATCCAACCTTCCTCTAAATACAGCATCCAGCCCTGAGGAAATAGGGGGATACTGTCACTTCCCCTATGGGTTGTAAGCAAGGTTGTCAAACCGGTTCATGCCGGTGTGCCGATTTTGTAAGTGAAATGGTCTGACCGTGATACAACCAGTATTCATGTCGGTTGTGCCGGTTTTAATAAAATACATGAGGAAAATGGAAATCCTCAATTCCAAATAAATTAGTCTACAAAAAAGCAATTAGAAGAATTATTTCACACAAAATAATTTATAGCTAAGAATTTGTAACTAATACTAAACAATTAGATGCTTAAAAATAAAATTTTATTAAATAAAATTTATTAATGTTTATAATGATTTGTGTAAAATTTAGTATTAGATATATAACAAATAAGGTTAATATAGACAACAAAATTGCTTGTAGCCTACTGGTGTATAAGTTAAACTAAAATGAACATGAAGTGCTTGGTTCAAATCCTATGGAGGTTGTTTATTTTTGGATATAATGTGTGTAACATTAAATTCCAGTTTCTGGTCTAACCGGCCTAAATTTCCGGATTTGACCACAGTTAAATACCGGCCCCTTTCCAGCCAGTTTGCTGACCGGTACCGGTTGAACCGGCCGGCATGAAACCGGTTTGACAACCACGGTTGTAAGATTCACTTCCCCTTATTGCCCCTTAGTGTAATCTAACGCCTCTTTGGTCGTGGTAGTCCAATCCTAATGATAGTGATATGTGTATAATGATAGTGTTTGTTGAGTGGTACCCGTAATGCTACCACTCAGGAATAGCGTTGTATTGGTACCGATAGTTCAATTTTAGTGGTAGTAATTGAGAGGTACAAGTGCCCTAGTGGAGTAGTGGTAGTATTATGCCAGTCGATTGGTACATATAATGTTATCACTACAGTTATAGTGTTGTTGTATGGGTAGTGAGAGTCCATTCTTAGTGCAAGTAATATGCCTGTCATGTGGTAGTATTATACTAGTGTGATTTCTGATGCCTTTTCTTGTTAAACATATGCGTGGTAACTATAGTCCCAGCTGATAATTCAACATGGAAACACTTGTGGTTTCATGAACAAGATGATTAACCAACTTCTAGAAGGAAGAAATTGAAGTAGAGGAAGGACACAACTAGAATTAAGAAAAGGTTGAAGCCTCCAAGAGCATGCAGCAAAACAATTTAATAATGAGCTCAAGAGGAAGAGAAACAAGCAAAACATAAACATCATTGCTTGTTTGTTACATCAATTAGTTCTTACGAATGTTTATCGTATGTGTCAAACTATATCCAAACACAGTTAATTTGGTTGTGTTTGACGGATGTTATTTTCTAGTGAACGGCTATTTGCCGTCAACAAAAAAAAAAAAAAATTTGAATTCAAATTTTAAATTTTCCCTCCCTTCCCTTCCTTTCATTCTATAAATTCGGATACCCATGAACATTTGACTCATTCCAACAAAAACTTCTGTTGACGAGCCCAGTGCCTCCGTCGCCGGCACCGTTCTTCCATCGTCGGCTAACCTCCCGTCGCCCTCAATCGTCGGAAAACAAGTAAGTTTATTTTTTCCAGCCAGTTTTCCAGTTTTCCGGCAAGTTTTCCAGTTTTCCGGCGAAAAACAGGGCGGGCCGAAAAAAATTTGCGGCCGGAGCGTCGGCCGGCCGAAAAAATTTTTCGGCCGGTGCGACGGCCGGCCGAAAAATTCTTTCGGCCCAACGACGCCGCGGCCGCAAATTTTTTTCGGCCGGTCGCCGACCTCGCCGCCCAAAAAATTTCCGGCGGCGTGTTCGTCGGCCGGCCGAAAAAAATTTGCGGCCGCTGCGTCGCCGGGCCGAAAGAACTTTTCGGCCGGCCGTCGCACCGGCCGAAAAATTCTTTCGGCCCGGCGACGCCACGGCCGCAAATTTTTTTCGGCCGGCCGACGCTCCGGCCGCAAATTTTTTTCGGCCCGGCGGCGCACCGGCCGCAAAATTCTTTCGGCCCGGCCAGTTTTTGTATTTAATTTAATTTAATACGATAATTAATTAATAAATAAATAAATACTTAATTGGTTAGTAGAAATTAGCAATTAGTGTTAATATTTATTTCAGTTGGTTTATAAATGTTTTTTTTTGTAATAGGCGTTTGAATGTTTAATTACTTAGATTAGTTAATGGAATTTTAATTAATTAAGAATTGATTTAACAATTAATGTTAATATTCAGTACATTAGTTAATAGAAATTTAATTTAATTTCTTTCGGCCCGGCCAGTTTTTGTATTTAATTTAATTTAATACGATAATTAATTAATAAATAAATACTTAATTGGTTAGTAGAAATTAGCAATTAGTGTTAATATTTATTTCAGTTGGTTTATAAATGTTTTTTTTTTGTAATAGGCGTTTGAATGTTTAATTACTTAGATTAGTTAATGGAATTTTAATTAATTAAGAATTGATTTAACAATTAATGTTAATATTCAGTACATTAGTTAATAGAAATTTAATTTAATTTCTTTCGGCCCGGCCAGTTTTTGTATTTAATTTAATTTAATACGATAATTAATTAATAAATAAATAAATACTTAATTGGTTAGTAGAAATTAGCAATTAGTGTTAATATTTATTTCAGTTGGTTTATAAATGTTTTTTTTGTAATAGGCGTTTGAATGTTTAATTACTTAGATTAGTTAATGGAATTTTAATTAATTAAGAATTGATTTAACAATTAATGTTAATATTCAGTACATTAGTTAATAGAAATTTAATTAATTTGTGATTAATTAACAATTGATGTTAATATTACATTAGTTAATAGAAAATTAATTAATTAGTGCGCATCTAAGTATGATATTTTGTAAATTTGTAGATAATTAGATATGGATGATGCAGGTCATGCGGGTGGGGATGAGTTGAATAGATTCAATGGTAGGGTTGTTGATGTATCAGCACGAAGGAAGAATAAGGAGAATAAGCGCTCTCGAGATATTGGACATCAGTCACAGGCAAATTTAGGGGAGGATGAGTTAGAGGCTCCTACTGTAGTTGCTCGTTCGGCATCACGGGCGTCTGGTTCCCATGGGAGGAACCAGGGTGCTGCATCCAGAGTGGTCTCGGCTGAGTTTGATGAGGACGATAGTGATGAGGATATCGAGGTCCCTCCACCTACGCGTGGACATGGACGAGTGTCGTCTCGTACGGCAACATCACGTCCTGCTTTGTATAGGGACCGAGCTGGGCGCTTCGTACCACCTGCTCGTCAGGAGACAGAGAGCTCGGGGACTGGACGGAGTAGGGGAGGACGTTCGAGTGGTCCTCCACCGTGGGAGCTTGTTGGTGAGTGTCCTGGTGGACCTACGGATCCTAGCCTCATTAGGAGCTTTCGTGGACACGTTGCCTATGCGCTTTGGACGGGGGCTGGAGATCGAGGGGTCATCAGTTGCTACAGCCGTACATCGGCGGTTGCTTATTTGAGTAGCTACGTGTTTAGTCATGTTGAGGCGGAGAATCTGGTTCAGCAGTCAGGTCTCTAGCACCTGATGTACTCTATGTTCTGCAGGATAGCGATTGACGATGCTTTGATCTCAGCTTTTGTGGAGAGGTGGCAGCCAGACACGAACACCTTCCACTTGCCTTTTGGAGAGATGACGATCCTCCTCCACGATGTTCAGTACTTACTGCAGATTCCTGTTGAGGGACGACTGATGAGTAGGAGTTCTGCGCAGCTTGACCATCCGGAGGCGGGTTTGTGTGCGCTTCTTGGGATGAACTCGGAGCAGTTGAGTGGTCGTACGGAGGTCCCTGGATATAATAATAGGGGTAAGTGGTACGAGAAGGGTGGTTTTCTTGCAGAGATGGCGTCCAGATACTTGCAGAGCCACGGGACACATGTGACAGAGGCGCAGTCGTACTTGTTGTTGTTGTTGGGGTCCACTTTGTTTGTGGACAAGAGTAGAGACAGGGTTCGGTCGGTGGTGAACCTATTTTTGGACGAGTTGGAGGAGTTAGATCAGTATAGTTGGGCGTCAGGTACACTTGCTTGGTTGTACAGATACCTTGGTCAGGCGTCTCGTGCTGGTGCCAGGGGGATGGCTGGTTGTCTCACACTTCTGCAGTGTTGGATCTACGAGTACTTTCTGGGTTTCAGGCCATCTCACTTCGAGCCTGCCGCCGTTGGACCTGATGATGCTTGAGCATTATCGACGAGCCTACAGGGCACTGCACGGAGTGCAGGATGTGTGGACTGAGTACTGGGCTTCTCAGGGACTCCCCCCTCCTCCAGGGGATTTTTAGTTGTTTTGATGTTTCCATGTTTGACTACTTATGTATGTTTGGATCAGATGTTTATGTTTAGACTGCATGTTTCCATGTTTGTGTGTTAGATCGGATGTTTGACTACTTATGTATGTTTGGATCGGATGTTTGTGTTTAGACTGCATGTTTCCATGTTTGTGTGTTAGATCGGATGTTTGACTACTTATGTATGTTTGGATCGGATGTTTAACTAGAAAAACAACAACATATAAATAGAGTATTGCAACACTATGCATTGCTCCTACCCCTACCCCTTCCCCTAGCTCTTCGGGGGTCTCTCTGCCGTGCTCGCTGCCGACCACCAAGGCTCGCAAGCAAGTTCTGTCCAACCTCGAGAATAGCTCCCCACTCCGCCACATTAGGATTTGCGATCCCATTCCAAAGTGGATGCAAAGGAGGTATAGGAAACTGATTCTGGTTGAAGTACAATCGAATGTAGTGGTTGTTCACATAGTGCAGTGATAAGAACATGGTTGGTGGCAAAGTACCTGGGTCCGCATCAATAGGCAATACAGTATAGGCATCATCGTAGCGGTTGGGTAGTGGACGGTTTCCATTATTGACATCAAACACCTGGTATGTGAAGACCATGACTGCGATGTTGTAGATGGTGGCAAACACGAACAAGTCCTCAGAATCCATCCATCGCCCCGGTGGTGCGTGACCCGCCTCGAGCCAATTGATGCGGTCAATGTGAGCTAGTGGACCACCATTATACAAGTTCTCGTACTTCCAAAAATGTTGTTGGATTTCTTGGACAATCGTCGATCTCATGAGCAGATAGTGACTATCATCCCCATAAATACAATGAGAAAGTGCCCTAAAACCACAATGGCCATCTGGACTAGGGTTGAAATCGCCTACCAGCAAAGGTCGAACAAACTCTGGAAAAAGCTCATCGATGTAAGGGTAAGAATATTGCCCTGGGGGGCTCTGGGATGAGTAATCTACAAAAATATACCAAACGGTCAAAATTACATGGAAAAAATTTACAAACATAAACCAATTACTACTAGATATTAAACCAATTACTCACCTGTATCATGCTCGTCGGA